CTTCCTTGGTGACTCATCTTGGGTAGCTTCCACTTGGCTTTAAGGAATGAGTCAAGTACCTTTACTATGAAAATGACAGGGCAGCCGAGCCCCAACCACCCGCTGTCAGTGAGCCAAATTGTTAAACGCGGTGGGACGGATACTCAAGTGCTTATTTCCGGCCCGCAGCACAGTGGTGCTGACCAGTGTGTGTCCTTCCATTGCGCATGACTCAAACTTTGCTCTTACTCACTTCGCATCCTGAGGTGTGCCCACCAAATGCCAGGCCCATGCCTGGCACAGAGCATACAGACATGACTCAGCTGTTCCACGCACAGGAACACCATGTCTCGGAGTTCGTATATTTTGGCCTGCTTAGTCATGTTCATGTCATTTAGGGACATGGCTTTTGGTTTCTCATTTGTTTTTTTGAGGTAGAGTCTCATGTAGTCCAGGCTGGCCTTGAACACACTTTGTTGCCAAGGATAACCTTGAACTTCTGACCCTTCTGCCTCCACCTCCCAAGTGCAGAATTAGAGTTGTGTACCACCTCACCCAATTTGTATGGTCCTATGGATTGAACCCAGAGCTTCCTGCATCCTAAGCTAGCTTTCTACCAACTGAGCTACACCCCTGGCCCAGGCTTCTGAGATAGTAGCTTTCAGGAAGTCTTTACTTTGTCTTTCTGTAGAGAAAAGAGACTTAAAGAAAAGGCAACAGCTCTTTCCCATTCTCTTCCCGATAGTGTCCTGTCTTCTTGTGTGATTCATCTCTCTAAAGCCAGGCTGCTGGATCATATTTCATCTCGCCTTTGAAAGCTACACTGAGATTGGATGTATAATCTTATTATTGGTGCTAATCCCAGAAGGATCAAAGCCATAGAACCTCATTAAAACCCCCCACTATGGACATACAGATTACTGTAGTGCTTAGCACAAGAAGCCAGAGTGGGCCTAAGAGCATTAGCATCTGGCTTCGGGTGGAAATCAGGAGTTCCCAGCACCACCAGGAGGCCAGTCCTGGCATGAGGCAGACACACCATGACTACCCTTCCCTTGCCTGGACCAGGTGGCTACTCTTCAAAGACAACAACAGCTTTTCTAGCACTGGACAGAGCTGGCCCTTCATCAAGATCAGATGTGTTTTGATTTAACGAAGGTGCCTGAAGAGCCTACACCACTAGCTGTAACTGCTCCTCAATTGTGTAGCAAAGCCAAGTTTTGTGACTGTTCCAGGCCTCAAATAATTAGGTTCAAATCAAAGTACTACAAGAGAGATCAGATGGGAAGACAGGAAGTCTTTAATAGCTGATCAGTACCGCCCTGCAGTACTAATGCCTCCGTAGGTTTGTGATACAGGGCTGAAGACTTGGGTTGCAGACACAAGTCTCAAAGACCAGCATCCCACTCATTCACTGTGGGGGAGTGCATGTCACCTCAGTAAGTGGTTGTTTCTTTGTCGGTGTGATCCAAACAAAGCCTACAGCAGAGTGTGCCTCCCTCCTTCTCTCCGCTCAGGCCATGCCGATTAAGCATCCTGTAAGCATCTGGCTCACAGATGCAGTGGGGAGCAAGATCAAGGACATCTTTATGGAGTTTGTAATCTCATAGCAGCTCACTCAGCATTAGCACACAGCATAGAGAGATGAGTAATTAGCCAAGGATGATATTAGGCAGAAATCCAAAGAAATAGTAGAGAAGAAGTAAGGGGGTTTGGAACAGTTTAAATAAATCCCCTCAGAACCATTCTTTATGCAAATAATGTCCCCAGAGTAAACTGCTGTCCTGGCATTACTGATGTGTTGGGTCTCTTTAGCATGGCCGGAACTGGCCTCGGGGATCTTCATTTGACTCTATTTTTAAACTGGCTAGATTTTTTTTTTATTATCACTAAATATGAAACCCACAGTTCTTCCCTTGGTATCTGCCACAGTTTGCCACAAATGCTCAGTTAGATACATGCACACATATCTTTCCCCTTTGAACCTAAGTGTGCACATGAGATGGCAGGCACTGTTTCCTGCAACCTCCCATTTTGGTACCTCTGAAAGATGTCTTGCTGATAGAAATGGAGGGGGGGGCGGGGATTCTAGGGTCTTCACTGCTCCAAACAGCGGTTGCCAAGAACATCTGCGTACATACATCTTTGCACACATATACATTGTATCTGCAGTATAAGGTTCCCAGAAATGGAATTGCTAGACCAAAACACTGTATGTTTCTTTTATTTTGTTCTTATTTGAAACAGGGTCCAACTATGTAGCCCAGGCTAGACCTGAACTTAGTATCAATGATTCGAAGAATTAGACTTTTTCTGGTTTTCAAGATCTGGTCTCATATAGCCTGAGCTGGCTTGGAACATTCGATGTAGCCAGTGATAACCCTGAACTCCTGATCCTCCCAAGTGCTAGAATTTCAGATGTGTGCCACCTGCCTTAAGGGCTGTACTAAGAAAAATAAATTATGTGTGTATTAGTTGCTTCTCTGTCACTGTGATAAAATGCTATGACCGAGGCAACTTATAGAAGAATTTATTTAGGCTTATGGTTCTACAGAGTTAGCATTCATAATGGTGGAACACTGGCAGCAGGCAGTCATGGCTGCTAGAGCAGGAGGTTGAAAGCTCACGTCTTGAACGGGAAGCCTGAAGCATGAGCTTTTAAACTTTCAAAACCTACCTCTTGAGTGTGGTGGCTCATACCTGTAATAGCCCCCATTGGGAGACTGAGGCAGGAGGATTGTCACAAGTTAGAGACAGCTTGGGCTATCTAGTGAATTCCAGGCTGACCTGGCCTAGGAAGGAAGGAAGTGAAAAGGAAACAGGAGAGGGAAGGTGTTTGTTCTCTTTAGGTGTTGGATGGATTTGAAGGGAAGGTGGCTACTCTGACTGGTCCCTGAGAAAACCTCGCATTAAGGAAATGTGGAAAGTTGCTCTACTTAAGATGCTTCTAAAAGGCCGAGCAGCGCCCCCATCTGTGCAGATTGCTTACTGCATGTAGAAAGGGAAGGAACTCTGGAAAGAGATAACCCAGAAACAGACAGGAGTGTACCTTAAAAAGTCCTTTCTCTTATAATTCAGAGCAGGTAACTTTGTTGTGTGAGACAAGGTCTTGCTATACAACCAGGCTAGCCTGGAAATCAGGCTCTCTTCAATCTCACACAATCCTGCTTTAATATACTACACACTCACATGTGCACCTAGAGTGCTGGGTTGCAAAGGTATATCACCAGGCCTGCTTTATCTTATTTTATTTCTGTTTCTTGCTATATTTCCCCAGCTGGCCTACAAACCTGCCTCAGCCTCCTAACTGCTAAGACAACAGGAGTCAGCTATGATACCCAGACAGAACCCTTCTTCTTTAGAGAAAGTAGTTCTTAGGCCTGGCGGTACACATGAGCACCCAGGGGCTTTGATTAAACATCATGGCCAAAGCAACTTGTGGGAGGAAGGGGCTTATTTCACCTTATAACTGCCAGGTCACGGTCCATCGCTGAGAGAAACCACGGCAGGAACTCAAACAGGATCCCGGATGCAGGAGCTGAAGCAGAGGCCAAAAGGGGTGCTCTGCTCCTCACACCTCACTCAACCCAACTTTTTAAGCAACCCAAGGCCGACTGCCCAGGGGTGGCACCACCCACAGAGGGCTGGGCCCTCACACATCAGTCAGTAATCAGAAATGGGAGTTGGGGGGGGGGGCTGGAGAGATGGCTGAGCAGTTAAAAAGCACTAGCTGCTCTTCCAGAGGACCTGAGTTCAATTCCCAGCAACTACATGGTGGCTCACAACCATCTGTAATGGAATCTGATGCCCTCCTCTGTTATGCCTGAAGACAGCAATAATGTGCTCATATACATAAAATAATTATTCTTTAAAAAAAGGAAAGAAAGAAAGAGCAAGCCCCTCAGACTTGCCTACAGCCCAGTCTGGTGGGGGCATCATCTCAGTTCAGGTTCCCTCTTCCCAAGTGACTCCAGTTTGTATCAAACCAGCACAGACAGGTAGAAAGGAGTTGTTCTAGACTCTAAAAGTGGTGTCCCACATGGCTCGCCAATTCTGGAAGCTACTGTTAAGCCAGCTAGGGTTATCAGACTTTCGTGCCAGTGGCAGGACAGCAGCCCCCATTCCCACTGTAAACCCACACGTTTTGTTGCTGGTGTGTATGATGTGTGCTTCTGCTAGTGTCCAGCCGTGTTTCCCTGCTAGGTTTTACTCTTAAGTTGGCTCCCTGACGTCTGGGTTTGCTAGTAGAAGAATGTGCTGAATCCTTCACTTCTACGTGCCCACCAGCAACTTTCTCTCAGCAAAGCTACTGAGCCATAGCTAGGCTCTGACAGTGCCCAGGGGACAGTGGCTGAGAGCATTCCCCCTAGGCAGACCAGGCGTAAACACCCTCTCCGTTCACACAGCCCCTCTGAGGGTTTCAGAATGAGTTGTCCTCCCTTGCCACCCTACCCCTATGTCACCAAGAACATTTGAACCCTGCAGAGCATCCCAGGTGTCCCTGTGGACTTGGGGTTCATCTTCTTTGTGTCCCCAGAGTTGACAAGAAGGTCCGGTAAATAACATCCTCTGGGTTCTTAACACCATGAATCATTGTACACATGGGGATAGCACCCCAATTTGTAGCTAAGAAGCTAATCAGTCCTCAAAGGGCTTAACTCTTCCTTGTATTTATATCTATGTGTGAACATAGCTGCTTAACGCTCACCCCGAAAATCTATTTGGATGCCCTTGAGCATCTAAACCAGTAAATCACGGCCCACCTTTAAAAGCATTCATTGTAAGTATATGTACATCTGCTCACAAACACTGCTAATGCCCAGTTTTCTCTAATACAAGGGAACATCTCTCACATAGCTAAAAAAACAGTATCTATCTGCCTACCTGCTTATTCTCAACACACATTCACACGTGCCTCATTCTTCAGTGCACGGGCACCCAGTTAGCAACACTCCAGCTTGCATTTTCTTCAGTATCTGTTGCATCGGAAATGGTTGGGTGACCTCTCCTTTTGCCTGCAGGCTGCACATGGGAATTTGGAGCCATGGTGAACTACATCAAGAGGACATATCCCCAGACCCAGCTGGTCGTCGTGGGCTTCAGCCTGGGTGGTAACATCGTGTGCAAATACTTGGGCGAGACACAGGCAAACCAGGAAAAGGTCCTATGCTGTGTCAGTGTGTGCCAAGGGTACAGCGCACTGAGGTGAGTCATCACACACACACACACACACGTTTCTCCCCTTGGGTCCTTCAGCTGACAGTACTTGTTTATAGAGCTAACCCAGGACACCAGGGTCCAGGGAGCACCTTGCAGGCTGAGCAAAAGTTTCCAACTCTTACACTCAACTGGATTTACTTCCATGTCGTCCTAGCAGGCCTGTTATGCCTGAGATACATAATAGTATTTTGGGATCAGATCTGTAATTGGGTCACCAAAGCGACTGTAATCGCCACTGCTTCCCTAGGGAGTCTCATTATGTCTGAGATTCCAGAATACGGCAGAACTACGAGTTAGCAAGGGAACACAGCAAACAGCAGTGTCTGACCCCTGGGCCTTGTGACCCCTAGATCCCTCCATCCAGCGGGAGCATTGAGTCTCAGACAGTGTCAGAAGCAACTCATAGAAATCTCCTAAGCAGGTCCTCACCTGATGGATTCTTCTCTCAGGCATCCTAGTGATCCTCCCAGATGGCCCAGGGAGCAAATACCTCAGCCATTAGTCTCCTGCCTGCAGACACGATACAGGATGAGGTCATGTGTGTGAAGTGCTCAGAACAGCACCCGGCTACAGAATGCAACTATGTGCAGCATCATTACTGCTCACTGGGAAACTAAAGAGGGTGGGTTAGATCAGGGGATCACAGAGACCAGTCCGGTGAGCTGTTGGCTGTCTCTGTTCATTGAGAATCACTGGGATGGCTTGCAGAATAGCTCTGTGGATGAGGCGCTTGCTGGGTAAGTCTGATGTCCCAGGTTTAATCACCGAAATGCAGCGGTCCTCTGACCTCCACTGTGTGGCAGGGCATGCTCACCCACACACATCATCCTGAACACACGATGATGATAAGGAAGGTTTAAAAGAAAAGAATCACTTGAGGGGATCACGTTAGAAAGAAGCTCAGCTGGTGGAGCCCTACATCTGGAAACTCTCACTTGGCAAAGCCTGGGAATCTGCCTCCGAGACCCGTGTTCGTAGATGATTCCACATTAAGCAGTCATTGCAGTCATTGAGTATGACGACCTGAGAAGTCTCTAAGCTCTGGCATTCTTGAACTAGGTTAGCCTCTTGACCTGTGGGAGCCTTCCCACAGATGCTGAATCCATACACCCTTTATCTTGGCCCAGTGAGAAATATCCAACTCTCAGCTCATGTCACACGAAACCAGAGCTAGCCAGAGTCCATCCTGCCCAGCCACTTGGATAAGAAAAGGATACTCAGGTAGACCGACAGCCTTCCACCTGACCCGAGGGAGCAGGGCCTAGAGATAGGAGATCCTCCCTGCTTTCACCTGACAGCTGGCGTGATGGTCAGCATCCTGTCTACTGTTAGAAATCACTAGATTCCCTTCCTGACTTCAGCACAAGGAGCTTGCCGTAAATGCTAACCTAGTGTGCACAAAGCACTGGGTTTTATAAATAGGAAGCTTGTGACAAATTTGTCCTCTCCTCCCTTCCTCCCTCTCCTCTCCTCCGTCCTGTCTGCTCAGTGCCCCGATCTTAACAAGAACAAGGTTCCTCTGAATTTGCAGCAATAGTGCCATCTCCTGTCAGTAGGTGATCAGCACAGTTAGCAAAGCAAGGGGTTCAAATAAGACAGAAAGACTGAATGCAATAGGAACCTAGAATCTGTGAAGGGCTTCTTTCAGCTCCATCCCTGATACCTCTAAGAGTTACATACACACCATCGCCTACTGTCACATGAGATCCATACAATAAAGAGGAAAAAAGGTAGGCTGATTCTCTAGTACGTGATTGACCTTTAGCTGAAGCCTGCCAAGGGCTTCATGGGATGGGATGTGGCAGCTCAGAGAAGTGCCAGGGACTCTTCACATAGATCAAATGGCAACAGGGGTCGAAGGTCAAGAGGGGAGGAACCAAGTTGAAGCAGCAACAGGTTGTGGCTTGATGGTTAAGAAGAAAGGCATTGGGCGAGTATTCATAGTGGCCCACTATGATGCCCTGGCTGGCCTTTCTGCACCTGTGGAGTGCAGGGGTCCCGTACATGATAGCAGCTTCTGTCCCCCTAAGGTGTGTTATTCTCCACTGGAAGCTTCAGATTTTGGTTTTGGAACACATCACACACACCTTTATGCTCCCCACTTTTTTTTTTTTTTAAATCAATTGGAGCAGATTCTCAGCCAGCCAGGAGGGTGCCAGGCATTCTTCTAACAACCAACTGTGCCTTTCTGGCCTTGGAGGCTTCCTGCTGGGTCATCTTCAGAGAGATTCTTGGTTCCTTGCTTCTCCCTGGATGTTTGAATGCTACACATCAAAGCTGTTATCCAGCATGAGAGCCAAAGCCAGCCTGTACTCCCCACAGAGCCCTTCGTGGCTGTCCTGGAGTCTAACTTTCTGTGGTTCCTGCAGGGCCCAGGAGACCTTCATGCAGTGGGACCAGTGCCGCCGGTTTTACAACTTCCTCATGGCTGACAACATGAAGAAGATCATCCTGTCTCACAGGTATAGGACCCTCTCTTCTGTCTCAGCTGGTACCTTGGTACCTCCTCCCACTAAAACAAGACAAGGCACCTCTTCACATACCATTCTTCACCCAGGTGGAACATTCCTGAGGTGGCCTGTCACTGTTTAGGTGGCCTTCCTCCTCAGGATGCTTCTGTACATGGATCCAGGACTGGGTCTTTGCATGGAGGCTCAGAGCAGAGAACCATGCCTGCTCAAGGCTCAGGCCCTTGGAGCAGTGGGAAAGAAACAGGAGTCTGCCAGGGTTGTCCCGAGATGCTTTGTTATCACTGCTCCTGCTGAATTCTCTCGCCCTCCTCCCTGGCACTTCCCCTCCCCTCTAGCTAGACTGGAGCATGTGGGCCTGCTCCCTTTGCCTCTCCACACCTCTGTCCTTGTCAGCAGCTGCTCGCTAGGCCAAGCCCATCCCTAAGGCCCACCTCAGGTCTCCCTTCTCCCACCAGGCTGCCTTTCTGAGGCTTCTCCTAGCTCTGTCCTGTGACTCAAATGTGCTGGCCATTTTTCCACTCCTCCTAGAGCCTGGTACCCAAGGAACACTCAAGAAACAAAGTTTGGAGGAGGCTTTTGGCATCACCCTAAGAAAAAAATCCTAAATGGTTAATTTCTCAGTCCTTTTTATCTGTTGGTTGGTTTGGGGGGTGGGTTTCTTTTTTGTTTTTTTTGGGGGGGGGGTTGTTTGTTTGTTTGTTTGTTTGTGAGGGAGGGAGGTGTTTGTTTTAGATGTGAGTTCACTATGTTAACTAAGTCGGTCCTAAACTCTTGAGTTCGAGCAATCCTCCTGCTGAACCTCCTGCATGCTGGGCCCACAGGTGGGCACCCCTGTGCCTACTTCTTAATCTCTTCCCTCCACTCTAGTGCTTAAAACAACATTGTCTAGCCTGGCCTAGCCACATTCTCTGAGCTAAGCTGAGCTTCCTGTGGGTAGGCTCCTATGGTACCTAAGCAAGGCTGGTCCTTACAGCCCCTCAAATCACAAGCTGCCAGGCATATCCTCAGGTCCTTGTGTCAGGTGGGTTGAGAAAAAGAGACTCCTGTCGCCTGTGCTATGGCTAAGTCATCCATCCCCTTCAGCTCCTCTGATTTGAGCGTCAGTCCCATGCTGGACATGAGCTGGGAGGGCCCAGGTGTAGTTCCGGTGGGTCTTAGGATTTTCTCTAGCCAGATGGGATGAAATTAGATTGCCGATGCCAAGTTTGAGTCCTTATGTCTGTACTTCTAGGATGGACAGGGAGTCTCCTAGGGAAGATTTGTTTTTCTGGAAGGGTGAGTGTTGCTGAAAAGTCCTGAAGGTTCATTATGCAATTGTTAACAAATTGGGAAGGCATGTTAGTGTGTTTACCAGAGAAAGCCAACTAACTGAAATCTTAGGGACACTTTAAGTTATAATTCCATCCTTTGCCACCTTATTTGGGAAAAAGTAAGTCCTAAGGAAGGATGTTGGTCTCCTTTTAGAGAGGTTATAAATGGATACCAGAACACTTCATTTCTGGCATGAATGTTTCCTACTGTCGAGCCAAACCTCAAAGCAAACTCAGTCCTCCCCCTGCTGCGTGACTGGGAGAACCAGCTTGGAAGGGAAGTCCGCTCTGCCCGTTGTCATCCATACCTTTATCACCATGCCCTGCATGGACATTCCTCTCCATAGAAATGACCGCTGTATTGAACCCACTCCTGTCTTCTAGACGGACAGGTTCAAACAACATCAGAATCGCAGTCAGCCCCACAGAGGTCTTGTCTGTGCTGAACATATGCAGGTTTCTTTCTTAAGAGCTTGTTTGGAGGTTCTAGCAGGGGAGCTTAGCTGCTTGTATACCCTCGACTGAAAACCATCCTCTCTTTTGGGAAGGTCGTCCTCTTTGACCAAGCATGAAGCTTCCACAGAGCAGTGAGGGATGGAGGTCACTGGCCTAGCCAGCCCGATCACTCTCACATCTGAAAGTTTGTTTCTTACTCATTCCTTAAACAGTCTAGTCTAGTCTAGCAACTGTTTCCATTCCATCCATTCACAGTGTCTCAGGTATCACAAGTAACTTAGAGATGATTAAACGTACAGGAAATGGTATAGTTACAAATATATCCTAAAGCCAGGAATGGTGGCACATGTTCTTGTTGCCCAAGCTATTCAAAGAGTTGAGGCAGGAACATTGCTTAAGCCCAGGAGTTTGAGAACAAGTTGTGTAACACAAAGAGACCCCCATCCCATCCTGCCAACACCCTCCAAAAATATCAGTTTGTAGAGTATCTGTGTATTTGGATCTCTGAAGAATATTCTAGAACTAGTTGTCCGTGGATACAAAGGGTGACACTGTATGGCTTTTTGGTTAGCACTGTGAAGAGCTGCTGACTTACCCAGATGATGAAGGGGTTACTGGAAGCTTCCTTATTAAGCAACACAGACGGCTTGTAAGGGGAACAAAGACCTGCCAGTGGCTGGCAGCATCAACATCAGTGTAACATACAGTTGCTAGACCATGTTTGGCCCGAAACCCATCACTCTTCCAAAAGGCCCTTCCTGGGAGTCCTCCCCTGTGCCAGCTTGAAACCTAGTCTTTGGTTTCAGGTCTTGGTATCCTGAAAGGAAAATAAGGTTTTGATGTTCATTTTCCTATACATTCTCATCCTTGTGGATGTCCGTTCTACAGGCTCAAAGGATACCCAGTCATGGCAGCACATGCTTGTAATCCCAAAGTGTGGGAGGTAAAGGCAGGAGGACCGAGAGTCCAAGGTCATCCTTGGCTATGTGGGAAATTTGAAATGAGCCAGGGCTTCAGGAGACCATGTGTAAATAAATACATAAATAAGAAAGAGATTGGGCTCAAGTAGAGTGCTTGCCTAGCATGCATAAGGCCCCAGGTTTAATCTCCAGTAGCACAAGAAAACAAAAATCAAAATAAATTAAAAAAAACAAAAACCTGGAGGGCTGTATATCTGATTCACTGTACCGCTTGGTCCCATGGCAACTGGCGCTCCCGGTCTGCCTGTGGGCAGGGAAGCAGGCTCCGCGATGCTGGTTTCTCCTCTACATTGCTTTGTTCACTTGTGTGCCTTGTTCTAGACAAGCCCTCTTTGGAGACCATGTTAAGAAACCCCAGAGCCTGGAGGACACGGACTTGAGCCGGCTCTACACAGCAACATCCCTGATGCAGATTGATGACAACGTGATGAGGTGGGTCCTCAAGGAGTGCCGTGGGGCAGGTGCCAGGCCGGAGGCCGCCATCCACTCTGCCCAGCGCCACAGCCTTGCCTCGCTTGCTTCAGAGGCTTCTTTTCATTTTAATAAGTAGCTAATGCTTAGAAGGAAATCATACGAAAATTCTCATCTCTTGGAAGTGGGAAAGGAATATGGCCATCCCATGTGGCACAGGCAGCTTGAACTGGGTGGGGAAGTGTGCCCTCCTAGTGGTCCCCATCTGTATACACAGTGTGTCCTGCCTCAACACGGGACAAGATCAGTGCCACCCAGATCTGCCTTTACAGTGGAGGGAAGTCGTTCTTGTACGTGGTAAGCATGCTTATTCAGACTTCAGTGGCCGACTCTCTATCAAAAGCAGGTGACCAAAGGTAGAGCAAGAGACCTACGGGTTTCAAATGACACATGGATCCACTTTCTGTGGGTGGCGATGAGGTGAGAATGCTTCTGGGTGGAAGACACAATCCCTGCTCATTTCCCTCGTTCCCTCATTTCCTGCCTGGACCCTGGCACCTATGATCTCACCTCGGCTGGTACTGGCACCTTCTCACTGAGGTTAGAAAACTTGTACAGTTGGTCTCAGACCCTGTCACTGTCTTTCACATTTTACAATCCCTTGATACCTTTAAACATAGCCTAAAACAAGCAGGTCCTCTCAGTGGGCGGCCATTGGCTGGAGACCACGAGACCTCTGCTTCCTTTCTTCACGGGTCTTTCCTAGCCTTTCATATCAGGGAAACCTGACGGTGTCGGTTACTATGTTTTCAAAACAAATAGAAATATGGAATTGCTAGTATATTTAAAAGACAGAAATAAACGATGCCCAGCCCTTGCAGTACATGACTTACTGTGGTACCTATTAGGAGGACAAAAGTACTTTAATTTTAATTTAATATAAAATTCTCATCCATCTTCCTAATTTAAGCCCAAAAGAAAACGTCCCTCAGTTCCTGTTTCTTAATCTGTGAATATCTTTGTCATTAGTAGTATCGACGAGTGGTAATGGTTCATAATCAAACCCTAGCAGCATCCTCAGAGTAGTCCCCAGCAACGCTGGAGGCATGGAACACCTTGGGGATAGTGCGGAGGACAGATGCACACATCCTGGGTGTGCTGTCTGCTCACAGCCTCCTTCCTTACCAGAGGTCCCTAATGGTCTAGCCTGAGCCTTTCTGATCATTTCCAGACCAAGGTACCTAAGAAAGCTGGAAATGGAAGAGATCCACAGCTCTGTGGGAGGCAGAACATCTCAGAGACCTGAATTGAAAGAGAAAGTCTACCTTCGGGGACTAGAGTCCCCACCCTGGGCACGGAAAAAACGGGATTTCAGAGGTCTTCTGGCCAACAGTAGAATTTGGGCCTTAGATCTCTCTAGCTGAACTCTCCAGGCCTCTCATGACACAGGGCTGAGCAGTGCTGCCCTGGTGTTGTTAAACTGCAGTTTGTCACTGACGAGTACTCTTCCCTGAGTGGACAGACCTGGTAGCTTCAAAGCTCTTGTCATACCTTACTCTCCAGCACATGTTTGAGTATAGTTTCATTTTGAGGTAACCCAGCTGAAGGGAAAGTTCTAGCTCATGCATGCCTATGAACCTGAGTTTCTGTCAAAGGTGGTAAACAACTTTATACTGCCTCAAAAGACTCCACAGCCAGTGGTGATTATTACAGTTAATACTGCCTGAGATTGTTTCAGTCATGTCATAGGCCTCATAGCACCATTAAGTAAGGTCCTGCCTTTGGTCCACTTTACAGTGAAACAGCCAAGGCCCAGGAAACTGGAGCATTTTCCTGAGATTACCCAACTAGAAAGTGGCTGAGTCAGGATTCGAATCCAGTTTCCAGGCCCAGGCTCCCGACTCCAAACTCTGCCACTTCCACACATTTTAGGGCAGGAGTTTGACCACAGTGAAGTCACTGCCTGTGTGGATTCTGCTATTGCAGTGAGTTAGTGTGGAAACCGGAGAGACATCAGCTCCGTTTTGTAACGTGTTGTTTTTTTGCCTTTGTGTGTCCTTGTGATCCAGAAAGTTCCATGGCTATAACTCCCTGAAGGAATATTATGAGGAAGAGAGCTGCATGAGGTACCTGCACAGGGTGAGTGACAGCCCCTCGCAGAATCACTGTCACTGAAGCCATGGTTACCTTTCCTAAGAGCACCACTCCAGCATCACGTCACCTGAACTTTCACTTGTACCAGCTGTCCTCTCTGTGACTGCCTCAGTCTAAATCCCAGAGCTGCTCTCAGATCAGGCTTCTCCCAAGTCTGTAAAATGGCTTGCAGCATCCAGTTCACCATTAGGCATCCTCTGACAGTACAGTTACTGCCCGTCTTCTGCTGTGGCTTCATGGAAGATCCTCTGGGTTTGTCTCCACCCCAGATCCTTTCTTGTGGCCACATGTATCTTATTAATATGCCATCTAGGACTAAACTTCCACATTTCTTGCCATGATCTGGCAAACACAGAATGAATTAGGGGAGTTCTGCACCAAAGAGATAAGGAGCATGCCATCTGAACATGTAATAGACATGGGAACACACACCTGGAATAACTAACCTCAGCACGCTGAGGCAGGAGGATTGCTGTGAGTTTGAGTCCAGCTTGTACATAGCAAGCACCAAGCCAGAGAGAACTGCATAGCAAGATCATGCCTTAAAAAAGAAAAAGGAGGCCAGCAAGATAGCTTCCGCAGGTGAGGGTGCTTGCCACCAAGCCTGGAGTTCTAAGTTCTAAAACCATGGTGAAAAAGAAATTAACTCCACAGTTGTCCTCTGACCTTGCATGCATGAGCACATGCGTGTACACAGACACACAAATAAATATAACTGCTGAGCCATCTCTCCAGCAACTCATTTACGCAGCTCATTTACAGTGTCCACCTGTTGGTTTGGCCACTAATCCTGTGCTCTGTTCTGTGGCTGTCTTATGGGTCCCCCTGAGTCATCTTCACTCACTCAGGCACTTGACACACCAGAGTTGTAGGAGAGCACAGGTAGTCACTATGTCATGATGACACTTCAGGACGGTCTGCATGCTCTGTCAGCACTACCTACACCCTACACCAACAGGAGGCACTGTTATCTGTTTTTCTCACCTGCATATTGAGCACAGTCCTGCCACGAGCTCCCTGCCACCCACCAGCCACTCCTATTTGTTTGTGTCGTTTGGTTGAAACAGGTACTGAACCTTCCATCTGCTGGGTAAGGGCTCTGCCACTGAGCCACATCTCTAACGCTTGGTGATATGTTTTTTTTTGTTTGTTTTGCTTTGTTTTGTTTTTTGTTTTTTTAAAATAGGATATATATTTATACCCACCCCAGGCTGGTCTTGATATATCTGTTCCCCAGCTGTGCAACAGATTACTACTGTAAATTCTGTCAGAATTCTTTTGCCTCCAGAGTACTGAGATTGAGTGTCCATATCTGGTTCCCACTTTGTTTGCATCTTTAAGATTCTTCTAGAAGGCCTTCTTTTCCTCTAGTGGCATGCACTTCTCTTTTTTACAATACAAACTGAAGGAGATAGATAGACAGATAGACAGACAGACAGACAGACAGACAGACAGATAGATGGTAGATAGGTAGATAGGTAGATAGATAGGCAGGCAGACATACAGACACACATACACCTTGATGCTGTCATTTTTCTGAGGGTTGTAGCTAATCTGAAACACTGAGGGTAATCAGAAATGCTGTGAATATCACTGAGTACTGCCGTCTTCCCCTGAGCACAGGTCTGGGGTACTGGCAGCTCTGCTCCTGTGCCGGCTGCCCAGTGGTGATCACTGCAGACCTGTCACTCATCTTACTGCCGGTGACGTGGGGCATTCCTAAGGCTCTAATCCAGCAAGCTGAGCTGTGTGCATTTCCCTCTGCTTCAAGGGCATGTTTGGTAGGGGGCGAACTTTAAGTCAGTTTACCTTCTTGCTGCAGATATACGTGCCTCTCATGCTGGTTAACGCAGCTGATGACCCCTTGGTGCATGAAAGCCTTCTAACCATTCCAAAGTCTCTCTCAGGTGAGTTTCTTCTTACTGTTTCTCGAGCCATGCAACAGATTACTGCTGTAAATTCTGTCACTTTCACTGTCCTGTCAGCATATGGAGACAAACCTCTTGACACAGTCTTAGGTTGCAAAGGACCCTGGGTAGCACCTTCTAGGCTTCCTTCCTGGTGCAGGAGACAGGACCACCACCCCTGATGTCCATCACCAGAAGAGTATTCAGTAGCAGTGTTTCTCAGGGCTAGAGAGCCTGAGTTAAAGAGAGATTTAGAACTAAAATTTGTCCTAAACAGCAAAACAAAGCAAAGCCAATTCTGCTGCCTCTGATGACAGCCTCTCCATCTGCTGGAGGACATAAGCAGCAGCAGAAATGGCAGAGAACACTGCTCATGGAAATGCTATGCAGACTCAGTCTATCCTGTGATCAACGCTACAGGGAAGGCAGAGAGGGAGCCTTCCCCTCGAGGGAAGGCGGGGCTTCCACCTCCCAGTTACTGTGTTATTTGCGTTGCTGAGCCCCAGGGTGTCAACTCCACTGCCAGGCTCTGGGACTACATCTCCTCTGTGTACTGATTACATACAGTAGCCTAAAGGAAGAACTGCTTCCTCCCCCGGCCCCCAGCTGCAAGAGCAGATAAGATTGCAGGGGAAGGGCTTCTGCCTTACAGCGCTTCTGTCCTGCTCAGGAGAAAAGCCTCGTGGTGGGGGTGCCCGTTACTTGATAGAAGCTATCTCCTGTCAACCCACAGCCACCCACAGACTCCCAGCACACCACAGCATGGCCCACTCAGCCACGTGCAACAGCACTTATCTCCTTCTGGACCAAAAATAACATCCACAGGACTAATGCTGTCCCACAGAAAAAATGTACAAAATAGCAACTAAGAAGGAAGAACAGAGGGAGTGAGGCAAAAACAGAGCCGTGTCCACTGCCCCCCCACCCATGTCCACGCTGTCCCCACCCCCTCCCCTATTGAATTTGGCTGCATCTTCTATTCATCTCTCCAGTAGCCATGGAGACTATCCTAAATATGGACCCAAGATCCAGCTTCATGCCCTCAGCTCTCATCCATTTAGCACATGGCACCAGGAGCCTGGGCATCTTTTAACACACCTTGCAGCTTGAGCCTCAGTCCTGAAGGTTGATGCTAGGCATGAGAAAGTTCTGACTACATTGAGTTCTTCTTTTTCTCTGATGAATAGCACTCTTTAGTGCTGTGATTTCCCCGGTCCTCTGAGCCTTCTTACCCTCGGAGTTAGCTCATCAGAATCTGCATCTCAGCAAAAATATCCTGAGTAATCCAGGGTACACAAAGTTGGGTAGCATAGCCAGTCAGCTGGGGCACTCCAGCATTCCCAGCACAGTGTTGGTTCCCCTCTTTTACCTCCTCTCTTTCAGCTCTAAGATTTTAACTTAGTAGTCGTGTGGGGGTCAGGATGAGGCTTGGGTTTATAGAGCTTTAAGTATGCGTTCTAAGGATTTCTGAAGCTGACACCCATCCTATGAACTGGGTTTTATTCATTTTATTTATTCAGTCCTGGAGACTGAACTCTGGGGCTTTTCACATGCTAGGACACTGTTTTACTGTTGAGCTGTGTCCCCAACCCCTTTGGTACCCATTCTCCACCAGACTCGAGAGATCCTGCTGACTTGCCCGCCCACTTGAGAACAATACACAGTGGCTGGATACCCACTTAGGCCCCTCTGAGGAACGTTCAGGGCCCCAGCTTGGAGTTAACAGGATGTTGTGACTCTCCTGCCTCTCCCCTACAGAGAAACGGGAGAATGTCATGTTTGTGCTGCCTCTGCACGGGGGCCACCTGGGCTTCTTCGAGGGCTCCGTGCTGTTCCCTGAGCCGCTGACGTGGATGGATAAGCTGGTGGTGCAGTATGCCAATGCCGTTTGCCAATGGGAAAGGAGTAAGTCCCAGTGCTCAGACACGGAGCAGATGGGGGCGGAGTTGGAGCAGATGGAGGCGGAGTTGGAGTGAGGCCTCCGGACTCTGACGGCGCTCCAGCGGCCCCCCTCTGGAGCTCACGTCCCTTCGACGGCTGTTTCAGATCACCCAGTGACCTGAATCTGACCTCACACCATCACTGGGGGGTTACCCATCATGCAACCTGTCTCAAGTAGGCGGCTCTCCCTGGGAGCTCCGGGCTATTTTTGTGTTTAGTTAACGGGTTTTCTCCATTGCATTGTTAGCCACGGTGACAAGCTATAAGATTCTCACCCTTCTGTCCATTCTCAGTATCTGATTGCTTTCACGCTGGTCACACCGAGTTTTCCTATTAAGGAGCAAGTGTGAACTACAGTTTTGCTTTTGCCAGTCAAAGGCCTTTCCCTGGGAACAGAGAAGGATGTACTTCACTTTGTGATGGATGTGTGCTCCCTACGAGAGTCCGCACCAAGAAGTCAGCATCTCTGGTGCTGAAGAAGTCACTCCGCTTGGAAAGCCTGAAAACCGGGGGCTTCCTGAGTTTTGCCTGTGAAGCGAAGGAAATTCTCTGAATCAAAAGCCAAGTTTCCCTTCTCATTGCCCCCTAAGACAGCCGTGTCTTTGTCTTGCTGCTGCTGAGAGTTGCATGGGGCACTTGTCTAAAAATTCAGCCTCCCAGATCCCTCCCCTCAGAGAGGCTGACTCAGTAGGCTCGGGAAGGGCTCTGGGGATTTTAATTTTTGACAAGTGCCCCAGGGAATTCTCATCATCCAGCAAACTGAGGGGAACACCATGCTACCACGCCTTTAAGTTAGAAACATCTTGGTGGCTCATTCAATTGACATGCATAAGCCACAGTGTCTCTTTGCTCCCAGAGACCTCCAGAGCAGCAAGGCCTGTTGTCTGGCTGCCCTTGTGTGATCTCCCTAAAAGGGAGAAGACATTTGAGCTGATCCCTGGCTCCGTTCTCCCCGGCTGTATGACCCTGGATGAGTCCCTTTGGACTTGACTCTCTTCCCCTATTAGTGGGGGATTGGACCAGGTAGATTGCCGAGATGACCACCAGTGCATCCTTCCAGGGGTGCCTGGGTCTCCACCTCCCAGGCTGAGCATGTAAACACCATTAATTGCATTTTTTCCCCTTCCCCATCTCATAGAAAGAGATTTGAGAGTCTTAATCACTCTCTTGTCATTTTAGTTTTTCATCCCAGTTCTACCCAACGTCTAATTGATACCAAACAACCCAAAAGTTGGATGTGAGTTTGAAGAAATGTATTTCCAGCTAAGAGAAGAGGGTGTTCTTCTGAAGTTGGTTTGTCCTTAAATAGCCCCTTTGTGTTATCTGTTGGGGAGATCTTTCTGAAATGTCTCCTCAAGCAGAATTCTCACTCTAGGGTTTAAGTACTCCTCACTCTAGGGTTTAAGTACTCCTCACTCTAGGGTTTAAGTACTCCTCTTCTGGGAACCCTGTGGTACTTGAGTCCCTAAGAACCTGCACTTTGAAAAGTCCACAGTTGCTATCTGGAATTGAAGAAGACTATGGGTGGATTTCCTGGATGCACGATTGTTTCCTCTGCTTCGTTTCCATGGGCACCAGGACAGACTGAGATGTAGTCGTGGGTTTGTGTGGATGTTAAAGGAGCCACCTGAATGCTTGGGGGCTGCAGGTGGAATAGAGCCTGGGCCCTGGCCTGAGAGACTCACAGGAAAGCCTGTACACGAAGCACTGTTTTCTGACAATCACTGGATCATCCCAGTCATCAGTAGCCATTGTCTCAGAGCACTGAGATGTCTGCACAGCCTCCAGTTTGCTTTTTGCTATAATTTCTCACACTCACTGACTCCTGTCCCCGCGCCCCTCTCATGGTGGCCATTTCTCTGTCGCATTTCTCTTAGCACAGATTGGCACTTTATCATTCGTCCCTCGATTTGGAAGCGAATCCTCCTCTGTCGATTTTCCCTCCACCATACCACAGTTACAGTCTAGAAGGCTCACACATAGTTCCTGCTTCCTGCCTTCATCCCCGAAGACTTTGAATGAGAGCAATAAGGTCATAGAGTTGAGTCACTGTCCATGGAAGCGAGGGGCTCCCTTTGCTTGCCCGAGGTCATCTCTTTCCAAGTCCTAACAAAGCAGTGGCTTGGGTGCCACCTGCTTCAGATAAAGTCAGCTCTGTAGTCACATTTAGGAGGAAGTAGGCTGTCCTGGGAGCCTGGTCTATGCAGCAGCCCTAGAGGCCCGCTGGGGAGAGGTAGAGCTACCACACTCCTGGAGATCCAGCCCCTGGGCCTGTGGGAGGGGATGTGTGCCGGCTGAAGCCTCCTTAGTGTATAGCTTTGAATGGTTCTGGCGTTCCATTTTACTTCACATGAAATCAACTGAAGCCCTTTATTCAAGCTTTGAGCATGGAAATGAGGCGGTGACCATGGCAGTTGGACAGGAAGATTCTTGTGTGACCCTGAATTGAGAGTACAGAGGCATGACTGTGTAGGTGCCAGCTTGCCTAATGAATGAGGGAACAGCCCTTTATGTAGGTCAGCCCTTCCTCCGGGCTTCCTTGCTTTCTTCCCAAAGTCATCCATTCCTGATAATGATGTGACCTGTCTGCTGGCTACCAAGTCCTTACTTGGACCAAAGGCTGAATTTGTAGAAATCGTTTGGGCATTCGGTTTTTAAATCAAGGATATAAATTACATGGATGTAGACAATTCTGTGGCAGGAATAACATTAAGACCCAAGTGGGGAGTGCACCTATATTATTCCAGTTGTATTCCCTGCTTCCCAAATAATTGGAAAGCATGGACTTCAGTCAGATTAGGATTACTAGCTTGGAAAAAATTATCAAGACTGCATAGTTAGCAGTTATCAGGAAGGCTTGCAGACTTGAAAACCCGTTCTTTCCTGCATCAGCTTGGCATCTTCCATGCCAGAGCAGAATGAAGGTGGAAAGCGTGTCAGTGTATTCCTTTCGTTTCTGTGGCATCCTACACTCACAGGGAACCTTAGGATCTACTGAAATACTCCAGTAAGGGTGTCTTCCTTTATTCACATGGTGTTACAGAGCCAGGGTCAGGAGACATGATTTCTCATCCTCACTGGCTCTGACTCGTGCCAGACACACGGGCAAGTCACTTCACCTCTCTGAACCTGTTACCTCGTTCTACATCGTCCCTGAGGCCGCTTCACTCACCTGTGAATCATTCTCTCTGTCGTTGCTAAGTATGTCTGAAGTTGAACATAGAAGGGAGTGAATCCCAACCCCTAAGCTCATCTTGAGAGAGAAGGAGCGTGTGCATTTCCTAGTTAGGACCCGAGACAGCATCCAAAGCCCTCTCTTTTGCCTCTCTTCCTAGTCTTCACTGTTATGACAGTTTCCTTGCTATTCTGAGGGTAGTCTTGTGACTGTAGCAGGTGAGGGCCACCAGTAATGAGGAGAGAGCCTCTGGCTTCAGTGTGACCAGGCAAATTGTAGATGGTTGCCAAGACAGAAGTCCTTCTTGTGCAGGCTCGTTCTGAACTCAGCTGAACCTTCTGGGTATCGAGCTTATCTGGCTGGCATCCGGATGAGCGCTCTCTTTGTGAGTGGCTGACTTGAGATAGAGTTTGCCAGCTCCGGAGATTCAGAACAGGTGTTTATGTTTGCCCCGGAAGCAGGTGTTAGAGATGTGAGAGGCTTTTCTTTTCCTGTGGCCTTGATCCTGACTTAAGTGACAGTTTTAAAAGAAGAAGAAGGTGGGGGTGGAGACAGGATTTGTGGAGTTGAAAGAATGCCTGGGTTTTCTTCCTTTAGGCCCCCAAGGGAGTTCTTAGGAAGCGTGTCATCATCCTGTCTGCAGTATCATCTGGAATTTGTTTTCTTTACCCAGAAAGCCTTAACTTGCCTCTAGAAAATCCCCTGGTATGACAAAATTGTGGCATAAGAATTCAAACTCTTCTGCTATGAAAGTCTGAAGCAAAGCCACAGCCAAACCAGAGAATTTCCTCAGGTGGCCTGGAGGCTCCTATGACACCACCCCCTTCTCTCACCCCAACAACACGAGTGATCTGGAACAAGCCCCTCCACCCGTCTTCTTGGCCTTACTCTCTTTCAAAGCCACATTAGATCACTCAAATGCTTCCAAAAGGGGCCTGCTTGGCATTTAGAGGCCAAACCATTGAGGGCCAGGTTTCTTCCACCTGTTATCTAAGCAAAGGACAGTATCTCCTCTGTCTGGGGTCGATTTTCCTAAACTATATTTACGCTAAGGACACAGGAGCAGGCCCCTGCTGGCCAAGGAACCAGAACAGCATCCAGAGCAAAGGCTGCTCTGCTGGCCTTGCTGCCTCCAGGTGCTACAGCCCAGCATCCTCCTGAAGTGGTCCTTAGAAACAGACCACAGAGTACAGCTTGCCAACGGTCCCCAGACACCCAGAACACAGACAGCTGTCTCTTTTGGAAGAGCCCGTCTGCCATGTTTTCCAGCTGTTTTTTCCTAGCATTTATGTAGGTAGAGCTTTCACCAATGCCTAATAAAGAAGCCGAAATCAATTTCTAATTGGTAGATTAAGACTGACATGGTGAGTTTCAGAACATTCACAACTTTTTACTAGACTCCTGTCAAGTAGGAAATCCATAACTGGTCCCCATTAGCCAAGTAATCTTCTGTTGCCATAAATTGGGGACAGTTCACTTCTAGCACCTTTAGGAGTAAGTACCCTTCCTCTGGGTGGGCATTCTGTCGCAGACCACACACACAGAGCAGTCAACATCACCTGAAATCATTGCCGACCTCCTCGGTCCCCCTGCTTTCCCAGGCTGCTCTCATGAGGTAACCGAGTCCCTGGCTGTAGGACCTAGGCTCGCCTAGGTCTTCATTTTGGCTCTTTCGTTCTCCTAAAGCACAAATCTGTGTAGAATCCTGTTACCTCTCCACACCTGATCCAGGTGACCTGGCATTCTCCCACAGCCTCAGGCAGACCTTCAGTGTACCTGAGCTTGCAACTTTTCCCCCTACTGTCGCTGCCTTAGTGACCAGGGCTGGGGTGGGGGAGGGTCCAGTTCGCCTCCCTCCTTTTCCCAGGTAGACTCCAACTGACCACAGTCTTAGTTGGCAGATCTGCTTCCAGATTGATTTTTTTTTTTTTCCGAGAACCATCACTTTCACATTCCTGATTCTAATGAGTTTTGTTTTGTTCTCTCTGGGTTTCACGGAACTCCAGATGCTGCCCTGGAAATACTGTATTTTGGAGTTCATGCTCTGGAAGCCCCTGTGCTGCTGGGTCTTTTGACTCCTCCAGCAGCAGGTGTTTTGGACTTGCAATTAGCAATGCAATTTTTTCTAAATATGAGGATATTTACCTTTATTAAGAAATTATACTAAACAATGGCGTCCTTGATTGTTTTATGTTCTCACGTTACTTTTGAATCTGTGGTGGTGAATGAAGATCATTACAAACAAAAACTGTAATTTTGTTATCTTTGATTCAACGGAATTTCTTTACTTAAAAAAAATAAAAACAAAAAAAATGTAGAGAACTTGTGTGTGCTGTCTAGTGAGGGTTTTCTGCATGAAAAGGGGATGCATCTGGGCATGAGGGGATGGCCCTGTGGATAATGTGCTGGCTACACAAGCTTGAGGACCTCAGTTCAAATCCCCAGCACCCACAACTGGTGTGGTATTGCTTGACTATAAATTCTACAGCTAGAAGGCAAAGATGGAGGATCTCCGGGGCCTACTGTCTGACTGTTCTTCCTATCTGAATAGAACTTCAGACTTGTTGAGAGACTCTGTCTCAAAAACAAGGTAGAGCTCAATAGAGGAAGACGCCCAATGTTGACCTCTAGCTTCCACGTGAGCATACAGATACACACACACATGCACACACATATACATACACACATACATACACATATATGTACACACACATATATACACATACATACACACATACATATAGATACACATATACATATACACACACATACATACACATATATACATACATACACACACACACAGACACAGGGGTAGATCCTGTGTCTGCATCAAAGCATGGGGCTTAGTGGCAATGTGTAGGACACTAATTTCCTCTCACGAGTAATATTAAACCAACCTTGCAAACAAATACTAGATATGACCAATTCTCACAAACCCATCTTCTCCAGGGAAACAAGCCAAAAATCTGCGGTAAGGTAGCAACATTTTTTTCGTTACTTCCTAAACTGAGCCATGGAGAGAAATGCTGGGCATGGTGGAAACAGAGGTTGTCATGTGCAGCTTGTGTGCTTTTCTGTAATGTTCTTTTAAGGCCAAGAGAGCAGCCTGCGAGTCAGGCTCAGGTTGGGTTGGTTGCACAGTAGTAGTGGCCTTTTATCTACTTCCTTTTGTTTTCTTGAGACAAGGGTAACCTGAGTTCCTCTTGACCTCACTCTTAAGGATGAGCCTAAATTCCTGACCTTCCTGCCTCTGCCTCTCAGGCACTGGTGTATAGGCCTGCACCATCACTCCCAGCTTAGTGGTGGTGGTTTTTTCTCACTTGGATCTGTCTTAACCGGAGCGAAGGGTCTTTCAGGGCCAAGCACTGGCTCAGCCGGGAGAGTTGTGTCATCTTACTTGCTCTTGAGCCTTCCTCCCATTTTCAGCAAACCCTTCGACAAGCAAGGGGGAGTGGAGAGTGTAGGCTTTGGAAGGTATAGGCTACCAAGACCCAAGAATGCCCGGTAGCACATTTCAGAATTCCCTCATTTCCTATCTCTTACAAAGCAGACAGTATTTTTTTTTTTATTTGTGGACCCTGATCTCATACAAATAGATAAAATCATGGCAGACACTCAATTTTGACCTAAGAAAACTAACTTGTAAAAAATATTCTTAAAGGGTTCAGGATTTACTCAGTGATAGAATACTTGCCTAGCAATTACAGTGCCCTGGTCCAGCCTCCAACACCAATAAATAAATGGATGGATGGATAGATAGATAGATAGATAGATAGATAGATAGATAAAATATGGGATAGAAAATACTGCCAGGTTGAAGACATGGCTTAGCAGTTAAGAGCACTGGCTGCTCTTTCAAAGGATCCAGGTTCAATTCCCAGCACCCAGCTCCAGGGGATCTGACACTCTTAACTGTTGTGGGCACTGTCTGCACGTGGTATACAGACAAAACACTCATACATGTAGAATAGCAAAATAAAAAAATTAAAATGGGAAAGATTTCAGGTCTGGGCTGTTAGGAGATTCCAGTCTCAACAGCATGTCATTTGCCACACTTCTGCTGGGCAACCCTGTAGCATGTGTGGCCAGTGACTCTTCTTTCTTCAACGGAATGAATGCATTTTCCCCCTTCCCTTCTCCCACTCGCTCGGCCCAAAGGTTTTGTTTTGTTTTGTTTTGTTTATTATTTGTAAGTACATTGTAGCTGTCTTCAAATATCCCGTAAGAGGGCATCAGTTCTCATTATGGATGGTTGTGAGCCACCATGTGGTTACTGGGATTTGAACCACTGAGCCATCTCACCAGCCCATGAATACATTTTTTTAAATTGTACTTTTCACAAACAGGCTCATAGACATGCTCCTATTGAGAAGAGACAGGAGGAACAGATGGTGGCATTTGTATGTCCAATAGTGTAAAGACACATTTGTATTCTCTATTGTAGAAAGGAGTCCTCATGTTATTAACACAAACTGTTAATAGTTTGTTCTGCATTAACCATACACAGTCCAGGTGCTCCTGGAGAATTATGAGGTCCATAGCAGAAAGCAGTAGTTAGATTTGTGTTTCAAGAAGCTGCCAACGTCCCAGGTAGCCAGAGAGTGAGGAGAGAACAAGAGATGATGACAAGAAAGGTACAGACATCAAGAACCTCAGAAATGTGGGACACCTTACCAGAGAGGGAGGGCTGAGCTCTGCAGACTGTCTGCATACCTCCTGCCCACTCCTAATGCCCGCTGGCTAGAGATGAGTAAGGCAGGTTTGTAAAGATGCTAAATCTGCTGCCTTGTCAGATCTCCTGCTCTTTGAATAAAGCACAATTTAAAGATTGAATTCCTGGGCCTGGAGAGATGACTCAGTGGTTAAGAACACTGACTGCTTTTGGACAGGACTCAGGTTCAGTACCTGGTACCCACATCAGTATCAGGCAGCTCACAACAGCTTGGAACGCCAGCTGAACAGGATCCAACACCCTCTTCTGATTTTTACAGGCACCTACACACACACACCACACACACACACAGTTTAAAAAGTAAAATCATTTTTTCTGGTGTTCATGTTATACTATATAGGTAACATTTCCCATGGTAAGGACTGAGCATCTAATTGGATAGCCCTCCATATTGTAACCGCCACCCTACTCTATTCTCTCTCTCTCTCTCTCTCTCTCTCTCTCTCTCTCTCTCTCTCTCTCTCTCTCTCTCCCCTTTTCCCCCACCCTCCCTGTGTCCCTAGGGCAACTGACAGGAAGTGCCCATTTTCATAAACTACATTGCAGTCGGTCAGGTGTGATGGCACACACCTTTAATTCTGTTTAAGTCTGTGGTTAGCTCCAGCCAGAGCTACACAGTGAGACCCTGTCTCCAAAATAAATAAATAAATAAATTTTTTAAAAGGGGGGACATTACAGGCAATCTACTTTGAACTGCTGAGCCTTTCCCCAGAGAAGACACACTCCTCTTTCCTTGAGGCTCTGGGGCCACCCAGAACTTCTGACTGTTGTTGGAAGAACCCAGCATCTCTGCAAACACACACCAGTTTCCTCCTCCTTTATATTTTTTTCTTACTTTTTCTTATGATGGGGAAATGAAATCCTCGCACATTTCACTTCCCCTCTCCTGTCTGTGCCTCTCCCAAGCCCAGGTTATAGTGAGTAAACTATATAAAGCCAACATTAGAGGTTAAGCCTCTGGAGTAAGAGTCAAAGGGGTTTGGAAGCAGGATCTCATGCTAGCCACTTCCTGGCCCTTTGTCTCTAAGCAGGAATTCATGCTAGACTTTAATGTTTCTAAAAAATAAGATAAAAATTATCATGCCTATTTTTTGGTGGTGTGGTACATGCCTTTAATTCCAGCACTGAGGAGACTGAAGCAGGAAGATTGCTCTGAGTTCAAGCCCAGAATGGCGAAATAAATGGCGATTGAAAGGCTCACATAATACTTTTCATGGTTTCTGTATTGTTTTTAACCATGGCTTTTAGCTGGACAGTGTGGAGCTTGATATTCAGCTCCATATTAGAGCTTCTAAAACTGAGAGGCCCAAGGGCAAAGACAAGCAAGCCTGGATATGGAGTTACTAGAACATTCCTAGGTTTGGAGATGCTGAGGAAATGCAGATAGGCACCATCAAGTCCTGGTCCCAATCTCTTCCTTCTTTATGCCGTCACATGGGGAACCACAAGTTAGACTTGAGGGACTAAGAACTGACAAGCTCCATGGTAGACACAGAGAGAAAGGGGCCATGGCTATGCAATAAAGGTGTCAGACTTCCAAGATGGTTTCTTCCACAGCCTCCAGACCTGAGACAAAAGCCTGGAAGTTTAAAACTGACCTTGTGGGCCTTTTTCCCACCAGTAGGTCTCCTGCTGATGGTTTGGCTCAATAAATTCCAGGCTGGATCAGGATATGTTACACAACAGTTATGGTTCAATCAACCGTCCTATCTTTCTTCAAACAGATCGTCCCTAATCCAGGGGAGAAAACTCTTCTGAAATTTTAAACAAAGAAACAAAATAGTACTCTAGGTGCTGGAGAGATGTCTCAGTGGTTAAGAGGTTCTGAGTTCAATTCCCAGCAACCATATGGTGGCTCACAACCATCTATATGGGACCTGATGCCCTTTTCTGGCATGTAGGTGTACACACAGACAGAACACTCAGATACATAAAATAAATCATAAAAAAAAAC